CACTGACAGTGACGGGACACACATGTGGGTTAGGTTTGTGAGTGACAAAATATTATGGTATTGATCCATCTGATGGGGCAAAACACGGGTTCATGGGTCACTCTGACATGTGCTCCACTCACAACCGTATTCAATAGCGAGCACCGCAGCGCAAGATGAATGGCATTGCAGTTGGTGGTTATTTATTGCATCTGTCAGACTGACAGGTTTGTGGGCAATGCTTGACTAGTTTCATTATAAGAGGATTGGTTTAAAAATATAGTGCATTTAAAAAAAAATGAGAAGCAGTAAATAACATAAAAGTTGGTGCAACAAGTACATTATGTTATACTGCGTGTGTTTTGGAGAACCAAAACACCGTAAAGGTTGGTGTTGAAAGTATATTGCATGTATTTAATTTAGGAGAACTAAAACATTGGAAATTTTTAGTATAAAAAGTATATTGCATGTATAATTTAGGCAAATCAAAACACCGTATAAGTTGGTGTCAAAAGTATTATTTAGGAGAAGTATAAAACACGCAAAGGTTGGCGTAAAAAGTGCAGAATAGAATACACCACGTACATTGCATGCATTCAAGGGGACTCGGACTATAGTGCGGTCAAAAATTCGCTTCGCAACTTATTGTCAGATATTTCCTAAACTTCTATCGAACATAGACTGTCCAGCATTTGCACATTGACTTGCATCAATTTGTCTTAAAGAATCAATATTTTTGTTAAGATTTAAAACTATATTCTAGAACATTCCTCAATAAATATTAATTTTAAAAATCCAAGTGGGTGATTTCTACAGATTTTAATAGTTTTACAGCTAGGGAAATGTTGCAATCCCATTTTCTGCGTGACGGAGATCAATAGTAGGCTATTTTATATTAACTTATGAACAAAAGTTTTATAATCTACCTTCAATTGTTGAGGAAAAAATATGATTAAGTTGAGATAAATTGAAACAAATTGCTGTGCAAAGTATGGATGCCATTGATTCACCCGTTAAATAGACATTTGAAGATAAGTTGCGCCTCAAATCTTTGACCATACAATAGTAAACATCGCAAAGGCACGATCTAACTAATCTAAGAAAGCTGGAAAGACGTCACGGAAGTAAACGTTCGACATTGAGTTTCGTTTCGTTTTAGTAAAAGTTTTACGGCTCTTGCAACACAAATATGTCATACAGGTAACGGTACTGGTGATTACAGGTGTTGTCACAAGAGAGCAACGCAAAGGAAAAAAAAAGAGGGGGGGGAGGGGGGACGCGATAAGGACGATAGATCTAGATGTTTGATAATATGAAAGAAGGAGCAAACAACACCAGAGTATCTGTCAACCACCCCTTTTCATAATATGTAAATTACGCGAACAAAATGAGAGCACCTGCATTGTGTTAGGAGCTAGGAGTGTGTCTGCTCTCTGTGGCTCCATGAATACCCACAGTTCGTCTGACTGTGACTGTATGCAGAACATATCAATCACTGTGAGATGTGTAAAACGTTATTTTAGACCTGATACGGGTTTATAGTATAAAAGAGTCTATACAGTCATTTAGTTTACTAGATTGTGGGTAGGAAAAAAGGAGTGTGTGTGTGTGTGCGTGGGGGGGG